ATATGTGGGAACAAGGGTACATGATAAATAGAACGGTACAACAAATTTCAAACATACTTTCTTCCCTCTGGAGTTGTAAATTCCTTCCAAACAGTGGACGCATCAGCTCTCTGTTACAGAAAAAGGAATTGTTAAGCAAAGAGTAAAAGAAATAACGAAAAGAAAATTCACAAAATATCATGATTATACCAAGGAGTGGCATTCTATCATGAAATGTAAGTATAACAATGAAGCTGCTAATGATGCAGCCATACATATAAAGATGGAACAAATAGATAAAACAAAAAGGAAGGCAAATTAAATCATAACCTTGTCAAGAAAGAGACCCAATATCAGTTTCAACTCATACCAAATTCCCAGAAGGGAAGAGATGGGTATATGTGCAACTGGTGGAGTGAAAGAAGCTATTCTACCAACATAAAAGATACACTAATACATAAAAAATAGTTCACCTATAAGAATCAAAACGCTGAAAAGGTGGAGGCATGGTCAATTAAACATCTCAGCCATTGGTGAGAATTTGGCCCACAAGCAGGCCAAAAGTTTTGCTCACCTAATGGGTGTGAGAATCAATACTGCAGGGATTTACTTAGCTAGGGATGTGTGCATGCAAACGGTCAAGGTAAAAGAAGCTGTAATGGCAAACTTCTATACCAACAATACTAATAATAAAATTATCTAACACGAGTCAAAACTCAGAGAGAGGAGGACCAGTTATCTCAACTGTTGATGAGAATTTAGCCCACAAGTAACCTCTAAATTCTTCTTCACCTCATGAATGTGCTAGGATTCATCTTGCAGTCTTGACTTGCATGCCCTTAACATCGTTAAAATGAGTACAAGCACATCTCCCTCATAATAACAAATAAAATCCCTTTCCTTTCAGGTGCAATGGTGAACCTAAATCATACTTTATGGTTACAAATAGTAAAACCTTTTTGCCGGAGCCATATCTTCAGGATGTTTCCATCAGTCAAGTAAGAAACCTAAATATATTTTCCTAGGATTCATCAGTTCTTTAACCTCTTGGCCCATAGGACACAAAAAGCATACATTGACATCAAATTCCAATCCAAAGGAATCTTTTAAAAATCGATTGAAACAAGTTGAAGCAAACCGAAATGATAAATACAGCAAGAGCCATTGACCCAGCATTTCATACCTCTGAAAGTCAGTGGCCAATATGTACCTGTGGAACTCTTTACAAACCATTACAAACACAATCTTGCAACAAATAACACCATAAAGAAGAAAAAGAAGGTAACAAGTAACACATAAAATCAAAGGCATCAGATATGAGTAAAAAACAAAGAAGTTTAGATAGGAAAGAACCACACAATGAACAGCATAAAGAATTCCTTTACATCAACCTATAAATTCATTACAGTACCGAGCATAAACCACATTCGTCTAAATAAGATATAGGATTAGAAAAACACATGGACTACCAAAGTGACAACAAAAAACAAAGAGAAATATATATAGGCAACAGAAGTGTAAAAATAGATTAGGGCACTGTGTTAAGGGGGAGGAACAATATTATCACCCTGCTAAAACTTAATTATGGAGTAGGAAATGATCAAGAAATTGAAAACAGTTACTACTAGGCATTGATTAAGTATGTCTATATATCTAATCATGATTTCCTCATAACAATTTATCCCCACATGATAAACAAGATGTAAATAGCAAAATGTTGCCTGCCTTGAGAAAGTGAAGGCCCGCCCTCAAAGTGACCATTTAGAGCAGTCGTTAAATTTCTCCACACTTGCCATGACATCTACAAACCAATGCAAAAACATGCAAAAGAAAGGAGATTTCGCATAAAACAATTTTGATCAAGTAAAGAATGGCTACAATTTTCAGCATCCATTAAAGGGAACAATTTGTATAAATAGCATGTCACATCAAACTCAAGGTTAACAGATCACGGAACACAACATTTAATTATAGAAACAGCAACCGGACAGTAGCATGCCTCACCTCTATCGGTGTCATCAGTTCCAGAGGCTTTTCCCAACTAGATTGCCTCGTCTTTTTGTTGTAATAGTATCTGCAGAAATGTAAGAATCAGTTAGACACAACAAGTGAACACCAAATCTAATTCTTGACGAACAGATGTCTAAGTAACTAACTACAAAGACTGATAAATGACAATATAGAATAATAAAAGCACAAGATGAAACTTAAACAGTCCTAACAGAAGTTAAAAGCCCAAGAACACAGCAAGATATGAGCAAAAATTACAATGCTGCAGAGACAATATGAAATTACCTTCTTCCATCAGCAGATGTATGCTCTTGCCAATCCGAAGCTGATTGCGGAGTAAGGCTAGGCGCATTGGCAGCCTGGTAAGCAAAAAGTGCAAAATCAGAAGCAGTAAGATTAGGTACTGCAGCCAGATAACATTTAATTGAAAACAAAATGCAGTGGGACCTAGCTTCCAAAATGCTATCCACAATGACCAATTTCTGGAATTATAAATAATTTCCAAAATGCTATTGACAGTAACTTAACATTATAACTCACATTCTAAATAGGGATTATTAAGGTAGTTCCTTTCACTGATGACAGAAGTTGCAATGCTAAAAAATAACAGCAAGGGAGGTTGTTGATATTGGACCAGAAAGAGAAACAGTTTAAGGTGGTGCAATGTTCACACAATTTCTTTTCCAAATGTAATAGAGCAGTTGAGGAGACCAAACAGAAACTTAGCCAGTCTAGAAAGCCATAGATCAAGCTCAAAACTCTAAAGAAATACATTTTTCTAGGAAAAGTTCACACTCTATGCCGCTATGTCATAATAAAGGTTATAGAAAGAAGAGAAATAGAAGTATTTGTTATCTAAATGACCAGGACATGGGAAATAGACAAAGAAAGGACAAGTTCAAGACAAATAAAGCTCTCTCCTTTTTTTTAATTTTCTTTGGTTATTTATGTCTATATTTTGTTTTTCATTTCCTCACTTAGTCTTTCCCTTAAGACTGGTCAACTTTGTTAGCAATTTGTACTTCTTAGCCAGGTTTTGGCTGTAAAATTTAATTTCACGTCTAAACTTACTCTGGCCAGCACCACAACAACAATTAAATAGTGAGTATATAACATTTGAACTAAACAATGAACGTTACACATGGCATACCCTAGTTAAAATTCCTGTTTAACATACATTATACCTGATATCTCAGGGAGGAAGCACTTACTGTATCTGCAGAAGAAAGGAGTGGAGGCTGTTGGCCAGTCTGCTGTATTGGTGTAGCAAGTGAAACACTCTGATTTCCAGATGACAACCAAGGTTGTCCAGTCACAGGAGCAGCAGGTGCATGCACTTGAGTTGCAGGCTGAAACTGGGACGATGCACTGACATTGTTCTGTGGCTGGCCAAAAGAAGATGGCACATACTGGGAAAAATGTAAAAACATCAGAGAAAGTGGAAGACACTCCTGAAACTTATGCAAGACTAACAAAATGGAAACTGGAAACATAGACACAAGGCCTTACACTATATGATGAAGAGGGCGGCATTCCAGGGGCTCCTAAGCCTGGCATATGACTATTCAAAGCAGGAGCAGTTTGATGTGACTGCGGTGATCCAGATGTAAGAGGCCTGTTTGTTTGACCAAATGGTACATGCATAGGCTGTGCTGAAGGTGCAGAAAGACCAGGTTGATTTGGCCGTGGTGGAAACTGCTGCATTGGCTGAGAAAACTGCATCTGCTGATTTTGAACAGCTGGCATCCCAACATTTGAAGAGGGAACCTGCCCAACAGGTCGAAACTGTTGGGAAGCAGCTGGAACAAAGTGCTGACCTGGCTGCGTTGGGACTACTGGTCGGAACTGCAATGGAAAATTTCACACATAATGCATTTAATAAATTTCTGTCAGAAGATGAAAATGGTCATAAACATAACAGACAAGGAGGAATTACCTGTGAAGATAAGGGAGAACCATAACTTTGAGGACCCAAGGATCCAACTGCAGGAGGCCAATGTGGCTGGGAAAGAAAGAGGATAGCAAAAAAGTTTAGACATCTTAGACCTTCCTATAAAAACAAGAATGAAGGATATTATATATGTATGTACTTTAGGCAAAACTACATCCGATTTGTCATTGATACAAAAACCACAGTGCCACTCAGAGGATCTTGTCAAAGGAAGAGCTTCTAGTAACCATATTCAAGCTATTTTTAACTATTTCCAAGAAAAACAAAAAAGAAAGAAAAGCCTTAAAAGGATATTTATAAAATTTGATAAATTTTGACAAAACAAGGAAACAGCAGCTAAGATTAAGCCCTAAAAAAATAAAATATTGATAAAGTGTTCATATTATAGCAACAAAACCAAGAATCAAACCACGTAAGCATGCTACCTGTGCACTAGAGGGTTGAGGATTGTTGGCCATTCCGGTACATATGCAAAATTCACCTTAAATATCTGCAAAGATTGACATGAACCCACTAACGAATTCAAGATAGAAACTGCATCCAAGAGTTCCCAAACGCAATCAATTTATATGCCCAAATTATCCATACCAAACAATATCATGAAACGAAATTTACTCCACACCAATCTTGGGGAAATCATTGAAGTTAACATAGAATTATCAACACTTACAGATATCAAATGAAAAACAAACAATTGTGCGCGAGAGCTTGGATCTCAGTCTCGGAATTTCAGGTACTAGGGTTTAAGAGAGGAATAGGTGTAAACAGAGAAAATCTTGGTTTTAAGGGGAAACGTTTTTATTTTTCATTTTTCTTTTTCTATCCCGTTTTCTTCCCGGGTCGGATCCGGACAATCCCACCTAAAACCGACCTTTTCTTTCGAGTTTGCTCATTTTAATTTTGTTGATAATCAAACTTTTCATGGAGTAATAAAAAATTTAAGCATAAAATAAATTATTGTTTGCATTTTAATGATAAAATTATTACATATAAATATAATAAAATTTTATATATAAATCAAAATAAATTTATAATATAAGATTGTAAGTACGGTAAAAAAATTATAATCAATTTATATTTTTCGTTATTTCAATTATCTCATTATTAATATAATCTAAATAACATTATTGTTTCAATAATATATCTCTAATTGTCTCAATCAATTTGGGTAGAGAAATTTTTAATATATATACACTTTTTATTCGGCAAACATTTCTTTTGTTCCATTTACTAAGGTTGGATGTTCTATTTGCCAAAAATTATCTTTTGGAATTGGGGAGTTGGTGCTTGGTTTCAACAATGCAGTCACCTCCCTTTTGGCTTATTGCTTTCAACCTTTAAATGGAGTTATTTAATTTATTTAATCAATTAAATATATATATATATATATATATATATGTAGTGAGTATATATCTACTGAAAGGTAGATATGCTAGAAAATTTGTCAATGTTATATTCTATAGAGTGACAGAAAATTAATCAATTTGCCTCTTGCCATTGCTTGGACGGCTAGACTTGTGAAGATCAAATAATATCCGGCTAGCTCTCAATCATCGAGTCTTGAGTCTGGTCTTGTATAGCTCACAATCAACCTTGAATCCAATATGTTTGCTCCAGCAAAAAGAATCCAAGTGTATTTAGCAGATGGAAGTAGAAATTGATCTTCTGTAAGTCATACAATTCAAGCTTTTTTATACAACAAAGAAGAGACAAACAATGGAAACAATCCAGGATGTTGAACCTGTCAAAGTTCACAAACAGTTTATATTTTTCTCTCACCTCATTGTACCTGAACTGTCTCGAGAAAGAGGAAGCTGAGAAATCCTAACTAAATTATCATTCCTAACACTGCAGGATCGTTTACAAGAGAAATTGAACATGCCCTTCTTCAAACCAGACCCGCCATCACTTTTAGCCAGCTTACCTTTGCTAGTGCTCTTGGTGCACTCCTTGTAAGCTGCCAAAAAGGGGTCATCAGACTTCCTAAGTCCTCTTCTTGAAGTTTTGAAAGGATGCTGAAAGGCACAAGGAGGAGGAGGAATTTTAACGCCATGGATCAATATCCTAGCACTTTCAGGTGGATATGGAGGTGACGGCAGCTTTTGCAGAAAGTAATCTTCTTTGGAGCCTTCTTGGCTTGTTAGCTTGCAAACCCCTGGCTTGTTCTCCCATGAGAAGGGCACGTTCCCTTGGGAGTGAACTATGCTCTGATTCATTTTTTAATTTCTAATGCTATTTTCTGATAAGAAACGATCTGATTAGGCTTTTTATAGCAAGGGGTTTTCTTGTAGCAGGTGATTTATGAATATATGATTGCATAGCTTCCTTGCATCATAGCATGTACGAGAAGAAAAGAAGGTGGAGATTAGCCCTGTAAACAGAACTTGCAAGGAAAAGCCAGGGAAGGTTGCGGATAAAGGACCAAGTCTTATGGGTCTACATCACAGAAAAGTTGACAAGTTGACAAAAAAAAGTTAGAAGGAAAAGTGAGAAAACCAGGAAGATTGACCGTGGTGACTGATTTATCTACATTCGTTGCCGCCTTTATAAGCAATTATGGCTCAATCTCGAAGACTAAAGACAGATTTGAAAGTTGAAAATTAGTGCAGAAAACAAAAAAGGAAGAGTTTTTGTTAATCTTTAATGCTCTTTTTTAGAGCCTAGTTTTAACACAGTCAATGTCTCCAACTCTGATGTACTGCACCTCAGCTGAACTAACAGCAAGCAGCCTAGCAGGACCACCAGACAATTTTAAATTTGCTTTTCGCAAGTGGGGTTAACATAACTTTTTGGCAGATTAAAATTCAATCAGACAGCAACAAAAAGTTGACAAATATATTGGATTGGCTTTAAAAATTGTAAACCAGTACAATCCAGACAACACTTTCAACTGGTAATTTGATAATTGCAGATCCATATTCCAAAAAATTAATGCCCACAGCATTACACCAATTGCATACATCGATCAATCATCTGACATGGGACTCACTGATTCAATCACACACACACACACACACACACACACAAGGCACGACTAATTTAGCTCTTCCTGGTTGCGTTTAACATCGCTTTGTCCAATCAATTTTGCATCGCCTCTGTCTTTTTCTTTCCGTTCTTCCTTGGGCTTTTCCTTCGAGCACAGAGACACTCTTACCACATTATCACCGCGGACACTGCACGAGTACTTACATGAGAGATTGCACATGTTCTTCTTAGTCCTAGTCCTGCAGGCATCATTTTTGTTATCAGTGCCCAACTGACCATTGATGGAGTGTTCTCTGCATTTCCTATAAGCTGCTACGAAAGGGTCTTCCTGCTTGTTGAAATTGCCCTTCTTTGCTGCACTTCTCGGCAGAGGCTGAAGCTGGCATGGAGGAAGAACACCCTGCAAATCATCAACACAAAACCGAGCACTCTTCGACAGGCGTGGAGGAGGGGGTAAATTTACTGATATATGTCTTAAATCAATGCTGCCCTCTTCGTGTGTCACCTTTGAGACGCCAGGTTTGAGCTCCCATGAAAAGGGTACATTCACTTGGGAGTAAACCTCGTTGTGACTCATTTTCTTTTGATGTTGGGGTTGGTCTGGAATCTAGATATACTAAGTTAGGTATAGTACTACTCCCTTCAATACGTGCTGATCGTCTGCTTTATGCCTTTCAACATCTGATGTTCCTCAGAAAGAGTGTTAGCTTTTAAACTAATTAAGCAGAGTGGACAAAATTTTTATGTTACAGAAAAGGAGCCTAGCGGCTTACAGGTTTACGTCAGGAGAGACGTAGAAAAGCTGCTAATGAAGTTTATTAGAAGGCTAACCTAACAAACTTGAAATGGCCAAATTCAGGGGACGTCACGGCGCCCTCGTGCACATATATAATACAATCACGTAGCCTTGTGCCCTATGCAAGGGGCTTGCATTGAGAGACTATGACCTGTATCAAGACGATTGGCTCAAGGATTGCTGGGGCAACCAACATCTCTTTGACAGCAGCATCTCCGCTAACACTGCCACTTCTGGTTTTACCATTCTTAGTATACAGATTAATTTTTATGTACATGGCAACTAACACAAGGATCTTGATTAAGATTTCCATATTGGCCCCATGAAATATATATTATAACGTGTAAGTTGCTACATTCCTCTCTGGTTAACCTTTGTTCCATACCTTGACAAGGAGGGGGCCTGTTGATTAAAATAAAGATGGGTATTGGCATTCATTTCCCTACCATTTTGACAATGACAAAAACTATATTTGGCAATCTTAACACCCATCTCTTTCTGTCTCTCCGTCCTCTTTGCTTTTAAAACCGGCAACTACATACGGTAAAAATGTGCTTGACTTTAGCATAAATGATTTCTTATTTCCTTTGTTTATCACTGATTAGAGTTGGTCTATAAATATATAATGCTACGATCTAAATATTTATTAACTTAAAGCATTTCAATTTGTTGGTGTATTTTTAAAATAAAAAAATTATTTTTTAATATGAAAAGTTTTTTTAATTCAAAAATTACGAAATAATTAAAAAAATACCACAAATAAAAAGTTTAGACGTGAAAAATTATCTTTTTATGTTGAAGTTCAAAAGTTCCATCTTATAGAATAAGTGGTTGTTCTTTCATAAAGTAATATGAAAGGTTTTTTTTTTTTCATATTGTAGTTTACATAGGCCTTATAAAATGAATAATTATTCTTTCATTAAGTGACTATTGAAATAATATTTTTATTTAAAAGTTATGTCTTGTAAAACGTAAAAATATACTTAAGATAAAAATATTTTGATGAAAGAGTTATGTATAGGAAGAAACACTTGCAAATCTATCTAAAGTATTTGTTGTTAATCATTTTGACAAATCAAAATAAAAACAAATCAAGAGTCAAAAAATTAAGAACAAGAAAAGTATTGTATTCTGAAAATTAGCATAAACTCTTAAATTTTCATTAACTACAAAAGCGTCTAAGTTCTTTATAATTTACTTACTGCAAAAAAAAAAAGACTCGAATAACTTTGCAAACATACAGATGTATTTAGTGGTTTACTTTCGTAAAATGTAAAATAAAATTAGACATTAATTTCATTGTATTTTTAAGACTATTTTCATTATTCTCTTGGCATATTGAGTGGTGGAGTGAAATAATAAATTTTAAAAATAACATTTATTAAAAGATTTGTTTTAAAAGTCAATTTTATCAATTCTTTTAATTCTATTTAAACTCTATCAACACGAACCCAATTTTCATAAACCCAAAATATACATGCCATCTTTCAAAGGAAAAATTTTAACAATTTTTTGAACTATCTTGCAGGTTTTGAAGATGTTTTAAAAGTGGGCTTTTCAAAACATATGACAATAAAAAAATACACATGATCTTTTTTCTTTCTTAAAATTATTAAATCTCAGATTTTCATTATCATGTCACCATCCAATTTCTTTGTCGGTAAACCGAACATGTTGTCATCCAATTATTATGTACTTCTAATACCCAAAACGAATTTTCAACTTATAATATATTCTTTGCTTACAGAAAATTAAGAAATTTGGAGAGGGTTGATCACCATAAAATGCAAATACCACAAGCAATCGTATTATATATACTAGTACAAGAGCTGATGTGTGATTTAGTGTACAAAATATGAGATGATAATGTAGCAGCAGCCATATGAAAGAAAAGTGGAATTATTAGTAATAGTATTTGGTAAACAACCAAGATTTGTAGACTTAGGACCAAATGAATATTCTTTCACCTAATTAATTAAGTTTAAAGCAAATATAAACAATTGTGTAGTAAACTGAATTTGAGTAGCCCATCTTTTATTACTTGAAACAAGGGGCCTATGGCTTAAAGAAAGAGAAGTGTTAGGCATTACAAAGGTTATGGGCTACATCCATTAAACGCCTGCTTAGATTGGCCTGAAATAGATTTTAAAAATACCCGAATGAACCATTAATAACCCGGAGAGGATCCGGATTATCGCGCCCAACGCAAATGAAAAGGGAACAAGTCCTTTCCCCTTCTCCTTCATTCCCATGTCCCCCGTTTAGCCGTTTAGGTATTCTTTTCCAAAACTACCCCTAGGTTTTTTCATTTACCTCCACACTCCACAGCTCTGCTCCTCTTTAACAGCAAAAAGAGAACGAAACCTCCAACTCCGACGACTTCCTCTCCTATTAGTTTCTTAATAATTTCACACAATTTCTTTTTCTTTAAATCCATTTATTTAATCTCTTGTAATTCTTAATTGAACCGGGTGAACATGGCCGGATCCGGAGCCGGAGAAGGCCCGACGCTGATAAAGCAACTAGCTGCATGCGACAAGTCGACCCGAGACAGAGCCGTACGGTCTCTCCTCAACACGTGGCTTCCTTCACAGGCCGAAGTCTCCGATGAGGAGATGAAGAGACTCTGGAAAGGTCTCTTCTATTGCGTTTGGCATGCCGATAAGCTCCCCTCTCAGTCCGATCTCATTGAAAAGCTGTCCTCGGTTCTCCCCAAGCTCGAACCCGGTCTATCTCTCCAATATTTTTCTGTTTTTCTTCTTACTATGCGTCGCGAGTGGACTGGGATTGACAAGCTAAGGTTAGACAAGTTTTACCTCTTAATTCGTAGGTTTTTGAATTGCTTTTTTGTTATGTTGAAGAAATGGTCGTGGGATTTGGATTTTACGCGTCGTTCGATTAGGGTTTTAATTGATGGAACCTTTTTAGCTGATGATAAGTTTCAAGGGAATGGCGTTAATTATCACATTGCTTCAATTTTTCTAGAAGAAATTAGGCCGTTTCTTCCGGTAAAGAAAGAGGTCGTTGAGGTTTTGTTGGAGCCATTTGTTGGAATTATGGGGAAAGTTGGTGATAAGGTTTTGGTTGGAAAGATTAGAAGTAATGTGTTTGATGTGTTTGTTAAAATGGGGAGGAGATTCTTAGAACTTAGGAGGTCTGGGGATGAGGTCGATGAAGGTGAAGACTTGGTTGTGTTGGGGACTATTAGTTTGCTGATGGGATTCTCTACAAAGTTTTACGACTTGGGTTCTTCAGCAGATTGCTGTCAGGGAAATAGGAAGGTGGTGTTAGGGTTACATGAGGAATTCTTGAAGTTGGAGAAGGATTTGACGCTGTTGGGTATTGATATTTCGATTCCTGAGCCTAATGAAGGAGGTGAAGAAGATGAGGTGCCAGAATTGATACGTATTGCTAGTGAGACAGAAGTGGATGGTTCTGATGGTGTTTCTGAGCCGGCTGAAGTTAATGCTAATGGTTCTGCCAGGAAGGCATTGAAGAAGAGCAAGAAGGCCAAAAAGGCGACTCGGGGCAGTGGTACAAAGACTAAGAAGTGCAAGAATGCTGAATGTAGCCCTGCAGATCAGGAGAACGATGTTATGGTACCTGCACAAAGTGT